GCATCACGCACTAATCTCACACATCACGCACTAATCTCACACATCACGCACTAATCTCACACATCACGCACTAATCTCACGCAGGGTTACTCACCGAGCGCAGGCGGTGACATCGGGTCTGAGAAAATTGAACAATTCAGTAAATGAATTGTAGTGAAATATATTAGTTATAATTTCTCTATTGTGTACTTTATTATAATTTATTTATACAGCAATTCATTTCTTATTATAACTTATTGTAGAGTAATTGATCATAATGGCTACAATAGTTTAATAGCCACATGAGATAATCAAAACAAAGAATAAAGAGATTTCTTGATGTTATATATACATTATACACATTTCCTATGTTATATATAAAATAAAATAATTTACTAATAGTTTTAGTAACATTATCTAATTCTGATCAAGTCTTGTTAGTGAATTGTAACGAAAAATCACGCCCCCCTCCCCTTATTACGCAGTATAATCAGAGAAATGAGAGGGACAATGTCCAAATAGTGATGCACTTTTGGCCCTTGTGTGCGTCATCCTGACCCAGTTTGTCCCTGCAAGAGGGCGTATCAGTGCTACGTCCGCTCTCTGCTTACGCCGTGGGTAAGGAAAGTGCGTCACGATTTGGACAATGCGATCCATCCATTTGTGTGTGTGAACCATTATAATGTTAACTTATAATTAATATAAAAAGTCCCAACCCTCAGCATGTCGAGGGAAGTGGACGGGGTCACTAAGTCTCAAACATTAAGTCCCCAAGTCTTATTAAGTCCATAAGTCTTATTAAGTCCCCAAATCTTATCAAGTCCCCAAATCTTATTAAGTCCCCAAATCTTATCAAGTCCCCAAATCTTATCAAGTCCCCAAATCTTATCAAGTCCCCAAATCTTATCAAGTCCCCAAATCTTATCAAGTCCCCAAATCTTATCAAGTCCCCAAATGTCCAGTCAAGTCCCCAAATCTTATCAAGTCCCCAAATGTCCAGTCAAGTTCCCAAATCTTATCAAGTCCCCAAATGTCCAGTCAAGTCCCCAAATCTTATCAAGTCCCCAAATGTCCAGTCAAGTCCCAAATCTTACAAGTCCCCAAATGTCCAGTCAAGTCCCCAAATCTTATCAAGTCCCCAAATGTCCAGTCAAGTCCCAAATCTTATCAAGTCCCCAAATGCCCAGTCAAGTTCCCAAACTTATCAAGTCCCCAAATGTCCAGTCAAGTCCCAAATCTTATCAAGTCCCCAAATGTCCAGTAAAGTCCCTAAATCTTTTCAAGTCCCCAAATGTCCAGTAAAGTCCCAAAATCTTTTACTGTAAAGTCCCCTCCTCACAAGTCCCCAAACCCTTCAAGTTGTTGTTAAAAAACTACCAAATTGAAGTGAAGATAAATGCCATATAATCATGTGATGATGAATATGACAGTGCTGATATACAATATAATCATATGATGATAAATATAATCACGGTGCTGATATACAATATAATCATATGATGATAAATATAATCACAGTGCATATATATACGCACCATTGTTAAGGGGGGCGGTGGGGGGCGCCCCGAAGTGTAGCCCCAGGAGGTCGGCAGAGGAGCTCCTGGTGGCGCTGCTGGAGCGTCGCAGGGCGCCGCCCCCCTCACCGCCCCCCTCCGTCCACACCGCCCCCCCTACACGGCCCTTCTGCTGGGGGGGGGGGGGAGGAGGGGTTAATTATAGTATTGCTAGTACAAGAGTTTAATACTGGTATTTGTATTCAATATTAGCTCATATTTATTACTAATTTATTTTAAGCCATGATAGTATTAATAGTGTAAGTGTTTAATACTAGTATGTGTTCAAAATTAGCTCAGATTTAATACTAATTTATTAAACAATTATAGTATTGCTAGTATAAATGTTTAATACTAGTAATTTTTTCGATATTAGTTCCTATTTAATTTTCGATATTAGTTCGTATTTAATACTAATTTATTAAACAATAATACTATTAATAGTATAAGTGTTTAATACTGGTATTTGTATTCAATATTAGCTCATATTTAATACTAAATTATTAAACAATGATAGTATTAATAGTACAAGTGTTTAATGCTAGTATTTGTGTTCATTAATAGCTCATATTTATTACTAATTTATTAAAATTGAAGCAATAAATTATGTAATTATTATTAAATGTCCCTCACTCACCGAGGGTATGAGGGTCATGCCCCTCACTCACCGAGGGTATGAAGGTCACGCCCCTCACTCACCGAGGATATGAGGTTCATGCCCCTCACTCACCGAGGGTATGAGGGTCATGTCCCTCACGCCCCTCACTCACCGAGGGTATGTCCCTCACGCCCCTCACTCACCGAGGGTATGAGGGTCATGCCCTGGATGGTTGCCCTCAGGGTGTCGACGCTGGCGGGGGCGGGGGGGGCGCCGTTGCTCAGAGGCTTGATGGACACGTGGATGGGGCGCTNCTCACCGAGGGTATGAGGGTCATGTCCCTCACGCCCCTCACTCACCGAGGGTATGTCCCTCACGCCCCTCACTCACCGAGGGTATGAGGGTCATGCCCTGGATGGTTGCCCTCAGGGTGTCGACGCTGGCGGGGGCGGGGGGGGCGCCGTTGCTCAGAGGCTTGATGGACACGTGGATGGGGCGCTCGAAGTCCTCGTCTGCACCGGGGTAAAATATTTATTAGCGTAATTATAAGTGAATAATAATTAGAACTGAATAATAATAATTAGAGCTGAATAATAATTATCACTGAAAAATAATAATTAAAACATAATAATAATAATTAGAACTGAATAATAATAATTAGAGCTGAATAATAATAATAATTAGAGCTGAATAACGGAATAATATTAATTAGAGCTGAATAATAACAGAATAATAATAATTAGAGCTGAATAATAATAATTAGAGGTTGATAATATAATTAGAGCTGAATAATAATTTGAACTTAATAATAAATTGAAGTGAATAATAATTAGAATAACAATTAGAACTGAATAATAAATAGGAGTGAATAATAACTAGAATTTATCAATAACAATTTAGAACTAAAAATAAAAAAAATAATAATAAATCGTTTTTAAAAATTATAAAAAATGATAAAAATAATATATATGAAAGAAAATTTTATCTGCAATAATATTAACTCAATTACATTCAGCAGATATATGAAGTTGAGACTCACCAGAGTCAGAGACTCACCAGAGTCAGAGACTCACCAGAGTCAGAGACTCACCAGAGTCAGAGAGACTCACCAGAGTCAGAGAGACTCACCAGAGTCAGAGACTCACCAGAGTCAGAGAGACTCACCAGAGTCAGAGAGACTCACCAGAGCCAGAGACTCACCAGAGTCAGAGAGACTCACCAGAGTCAGAGAGACTCACCAGAGTCAGAGAGACTCACCAGAGTCAGAGACTCACCAGAGTCAGAGTCACTGGATGAGTTAGCAGTGCAGGAGTCCAGGGGGCGGACGCTGTAGCCTTCCTCGTCCACGCCTGCTGCGACAGTCTCATTAGGACAACTCATTAACTTTAATCAGCCAATTGATTTCCTCTAATCATTCATCTGACCAACTTTAATCTGTTACCTGATCATATTATAAATGGATTATAACTCCAAACAGTCACACGATTATCGCTAATCAGTGCTCTCAATAACAGTAATCACTCCTCTCATTAACGGTAATCAGTCCTCTCATTAACTGTAATCAGTGCTAGCATTAACGGTAATCAGTCCTCTCATTAACCATAACCAGTCCTCTCATTAACGGTAATCAGTCCTCTCATTAACGGTAATCAGTCCTCTCATTAACAGTAATCAGTCTTCTCATTAACGATAATCAGTCCTCTCATTAACAGTAATCAGTCTTCTCATTAACCATAACCAGTCCTCTCATTAACGGTAATCAGTCCTCTCATTAACGGTAATCAGTCCTCTCATTAACAGTAATCAGTCTTCTCATTAACGATAATCAGTCCTCTCATTAACAGTAATCAGTCTTCTCATTAACCATAATCAGTCCTCCCATTAACGGTAATCAGTCCTCTCATTAACGGTAATCAGTCCTCTCATTAACAGTAATTAGTCTTCTCATTAACCATAATCAGTCCTCCCATTAACGGTTATCAGCCCTCTCATTAACGGTAATCAGTCCTCTCATTAATGGTAATTAGTCCTCTCATTAACCATAATCAGTCTTCTCATTAACGGTAATCAGTCCTCCCATTAACGGTAATCAGTCCTCTTGTTAACCATAATCAGTCCTCTCATTAACGGTAATCAGTCCTCTCATTAACTATAATCAGTCTTCTCATTAACGGTAATCAGTCCTTTCATTAACCATAATCAGTCCTTTCATTAACCATAATCAGTCCTCTCATTAACGGTAATCAGTCCTCTCATTAACGGTAATCAGTCCTCTCATTAACTATAATCAGTCTTCTCATTAACCATAATCAGTCCTTTCATTAACCATAATCAGTCCTTTCATTAACCACAATCAGTCCTCTCATTAACGGTAATCAGTCCTCTCATTAACCATAATCAGTCCTCTCATTAACGGTAATCAGTCCTCTCATTAACCATAATCAGTCTTCTCATTAACGGTAATCAGTCTTCCAATACGCTAATCAATCCTAATTAAGCCTAATAATTAGGCTCCACTTTCTGCCGTCGCTAAATCGTGTACAATGAATAGATCATGTATATAATGAATAAATCACATATATAATGAATAGATCATGTATATAATGAATATAACAATATATTATTATATTCATCTATATAATAAATAAATCATGTATATAATAAGTGAACGTGATAATGAATTAATTTAGTAACTAATGCATTGTGATGCAATAATGATTATATATAGTAAATAATGCATAGTGAATGCAATAATGACTAAAGTAAATCAATGTAATAGTGAACACGCAAATGGCTCTATTTAGCAGTGCAGTTACAGAGGCTCGTTAACTTTAATTGGTAAGAAATTAATTCAGAAAATGGAATACATAAATATATATGAAAACATATAATGTATAGAGATAGATATACAAGAAAATATACATAGAAAATACAAATGTGTATACGTACAAGAGGAAGTCTTTGAAAATAAGAAAAGAAATAAAAATATATACAGCAAATACAGATAAAAAAGTACATATACATGAGACAGTACTATTAGAAAATAGAAGAAATAAAAATATACACAAAAAACAGAGATGTATACTACCGTACATATACACGAGCCTTAGAAAAAATGAGAAAAATATAAATATACACAGAAAATACAGGTATTTACTTGAAATCTGAAAAAATACAGGAAGAAATAAATATATACACAAAAAACACAGATGTGTATCTTTACAAGAGTCTTAGAAAATACGAGAAAAAATACAATCTACACAGATAATACAGATATATTTCTATACAAGAGTCTAAGAAAGTACGAGAATAAATAAAAATCTACACATATGTGTATATATACAAGAGAAAGTATTAGAAAATACAAGAAATACAAATCTGAACAGAAAACACAGATGTGTATCTATACAAGTCTTAGAAAGTATGAGAAGAAATAAAATATACACAGAAAACACAGATGTATATCTATACAAGAGTCTTAGAAAATACAAGAAAAAATACAAATCTACACAGAAAACACAGATATGTACCTATACAAGATTCTTAGAAAATACGAGAAGAAGAAAAATATACACAAAAAAACAAATGTGTACCTATACAAGATTCTTAGAAAATACGAGGAGAAATAGAAATATACACAGAAACTCAAATGTGTATACACAAGATTCTTGGAAAATATGAGAAGAAATGAAAATATGTACATAAAATACAAATGTGAGTGGTTAATGACCAGAGAAATCATTGATTTAAATTTTCAGGATCGAACTGAATATTGTTATTATTGTTGAATATTGTTCGATCCTGAAAATTTAAATCAATGATTTCTCTGGTCATTAACCACTCGTGTTTAAATAAGCTTATTCTGCTATCGTATAGTAAAATACAAATGTGCGTATACATGCAAGAGAAAGTCTTAGAAAACACGAATAAGAATACAAATGCACACATAAAACACAGCTCTATACAAGAGGTATTCACTTATCACTGCGGTCCTCCTTGTTGCTGGCTGTGTCTTCTTTCTTCTTGTTCTTCTTCTTCTCTTTCTTGCGGTCCCGGCGACTGCGTAGGAACCCTGCAATTTAATAATCATTATAATGATAAATAATGATAATAATCAAGTAAGTGATATGAGGCGCAGGAACCCTGCAATTAAATAATATTCTATTATTATGATTAGTATTAATAATAATCAAGTAAAAGATGATAAGTGCAGGAACCCTGCAATTTAATAATTATTCAATATAATGAATAGTAATAATAATAATCAATTAAATGATATGCAGGAACCCTGCAATTACATAATATTCTATTAGAATGATTAGTAATGATAATAATCAAGTAAACGATACGCGCAGTGAATGATCAGTTTAGTTTAAAAAATCTTTTAAAAAAAATCTGCCTGCAATTAAATAATCAATCATTATAATGACTAATAATGATAATAATCAAGTAAATGATACAGACAGTAAATGACGGTACGTTTAAAACACTTAAGTTAATTCCTGCGTAGATAAATTCTTATTTTCATAATATGCTATATAGGTACTAAAATCTAGCAATAATTAATACGTTTAAATGCTAAATAATGTGGTATGTTAAAGAAAAATACATGCCTTATGTCTAATAATAAACGTGCACGCTAAACTAACGTGCACGCTAAACTAACATGCACGCTAAACTAACGTGCACGCTAAACTAACGTGCACGCTAAACTAACGTGCACGCTAAGCTAACGTGCACGCTAAACTAACNTAAGCTATAACGTGCACGCTAATTAAGCTAACGTGCACGCTAAGCTATAACGTGCACGCTAATTAAGCTAACGTGCACGCTAAGCTATAACGTGCACGCTAATTAAGCTAACGTGCACGCTAAGCTATAACGTGCACGCTAATTAAGCTAACGTGCACGCTAAGCTATAACGTGCACGCTAATTAAGCTAACGTGCACGCTAAGCTATAACGTGCACGCTAATTAAGCTAACGTGCACGCTAAGCTATAACGTGCACGCTAATTAAGCTAACGTGCACGCTAAGCTATAACGTGCACGCTAATTAAGCTAACGTGCACGCTAAGCTATAACGTGCACGCTAATTAAGCTAACGTGCACGCTAAGCTATAACGTGCACGCTAATTAAGCTAACGTGCACGCTAAGCTATAACGTGCACGCTAATTAAGCTAACGTGCACGCTAAGCTATAACGTGCACGCTAATTAAGCTAACGTGCACGCTAAGCTATAACGTGCACGCTAATTAAGCTAACGTGCACGCTAAGCTATAACGTGCACGCTAATTAA